CTTCTTTGTATTGAAATGTTTAAGCACTCTAGTAATAAAGCTTTTGTAGTGAATCGGCTGTGATATAGAACAACTGCGTTTAAGCCTATGATATAGAAGAGCTACGTTGAATCACTTAATTTGTATGTTCAAGATTTTCTATTTTTGAAAAGTAACTAATGGCAAGACTTAGAATTTCGACTTTTAGTATCAATTGTAATATTCTACTATAGTACCGATTTGCTACAATACTTTTGCTTTGGAATGCTACAGCAATTCCAATATCACTTTTTTATTTCTTTGAACAAACAAAGAATACAATTGGTGAGCACACCAAATTACAATAAACACAACTCCACGCAATGACTCTTTTATTTTATTATTTACTTGCCATTTATTCTTATACACACTTATACACATTATTTTTCACAATTTCATCTTTATAACCTTTCACCATTCACTACCTGTTAAATCATTCAAAATTTAATTGTTATTGTATTGAATATAATTGAAACGGATTTGAGTGATGATTTTGAAATTTATACTTTTAACTTGTACTTTTTTTACTAAAATGCTAAAATGTTGTACTTTTCTCAAATTTCTCGAATAAATTTTTATCTTTTTTTTTATCCAATTGGAAGCATAAAACATTATTCTTATTTAATTAAGTCTTATTTTACATGAAAACCACTAAAATTCATTATTTTTACCATATCATAAGGTAATAATTATTTTTGTTAAATCAATTTCCACGTTGCAAAAATTTAAAAATTTAAATTGAACTGTCATTTACATAATATGTAACAAATGGCTCATATAATAAGCCATGTTAGCATCTAAAGGGCTTTTTTATTTTCAAATATATGCTATGTAGATGTTGGCATCATAAAAAGAAATATGGCATATATGTTGATTTGACAAGAAATAATATTATTTTGTGCAATTTTCATCTAAGAAAAAGAGCTTAATGAAACAAAACTATACTCAGATTTAATTAGACAAAAATAAATATTTTAAGGATTTAATTGAATACAATAGAAGGATGGAGGCTTATATGAAAAATTCATGTGATTGACGAGTCATTGATGACATTGAATATCAAGCCTGCTAGTTAGTCTTCTATTCAAATTTTGAAAAAAATTAAAATTTGGTGATACGATAAGATAGTCTTTTACCATTTGAGTTCCAAGAAACAATGTACCATTTGTTTGGAGGAGTTCTTGGTTGGAGACGAAGTTGCCTTGATGCCTCGCAGGCATGTTTTCCATGATGATTGCATTGTTAGGGGGATTTTTAGAAATTTTGCAAACTTCTTTACAGTATTTAAAATGAGGAGATAATACAATAAACAATCTTGCTTTGATATAACTGTATAAAATCTTATGGCAATCGATGATGAATACATTTTACTCAAAATTCTCGGAGTGTTGCCAATTATCTCTACATTAATTGATTTACACATCAAAATGGACATTTTTTGAAATATTGAATTTAGTTGTACAAATAATTTTTGGAAAAGATTTATAGATATAGTGGTGGCAATTTTGTGTCGTTTTAGTTTATATTGAATTATTAGAGTAAAAGAAATTTTAGATGGTTGTGGGTACAGATTATTCAGATTATTTGAAATTGAGACTATTGGATTTGGATTATTTTGAGTTTAAATTATTATGTTTTAAAATCAATTTATTTTTAAATAATAATTTTCAATCAATTTTCGAGTTATTTGAGTTTGAATCATTTCAAATTTATATTAATTCAAGTTTAAATAATTTCGAGTTTGAGTTGAGCAAATTTAGATTGTTAATTTTTTCCTAATCAAATTAGATTGGATTAGGTCCATATCTAGACAGATTTAAGATTATATATTATTATAATTATTAGTATTGTAAGATGAAAATATTAATGTTCTTTAGAAAAATTATTAAAATTTTATTTATTGATTGCTATCTAAATTGAATTAACCAAACATAGAAAGAGGTTTGATTGAGAAACAAAGTATGATCTTAGAAGCAGAAGCACTAAAACATGAGAAATAAAATTGATTCTATAAACAATTAACTAAAGCATAGCAAGCCAAAGGTAATTTTGTGCAACAAAGCTTTTTCGATCAATCTAACAATGGTATCATCTTTTGTGTCCCAACTTTTCTTCGTTCTCATCCTTGCATTGCTTCAATCTACGCTAGTCTTTGCCTTGGTAATTGGTATCCTTTCAAACTACTTCTTCAGTTATTGCTCCATCCATTGAAACATAAACCCTTCTTAAATGGAAAGCTAGACTTGACTAGGGGTGAGCATTTGTTCAATTGGTCGATTCAATTCAGTTTTAAAAAACTTAAAAACCCAAGAACCAACTTAACCGAACCAAGTTATACAAAGCTAACATCATAAGTAAGCTCTAGAATTCAACATCTTTGTCCAATCGAATTTACAACAACTAGAATAGTTCAACATCCAACACTCTTACTGTCAACTACTTTCTAAGAAAGCAGTAACAAGTACATCCGAATGTCCTTAGAGTACGGGAAACAGTATATCAATCTTGAAGAACTCAAAAATCGATTTAGACTTATCCCAATATCAATTATATTAAAACCAAATTTCAACAATCCAAACAGAAAAGATTGAAAGAGATGAGTTTTTAACTAATTAAAAATTTACCAGATTGTAATGAAATATGACCTGCATTGCCCATTTCACATGATCAGCAATGCTCAATTCCACGAATATGGATAGCAGCAAACCCAGAATCAAAATAAAGCAATAATAAACAGATAGTACCAAAGGAAAACTATGGCATTTCCTTCAAGAACAGGCAAAAACTTTTCTATGATCTTATTCAATACAAGCCGGTCAAACAAAATCCTATTGAAAATCATATCTTTTAAACTACAAATGGATACTAGTTTAAACCAACCAAAATTACGAGAACAAATGTTTCACTCACTAATCATGTGACGAAAGTTTATAACCAAAAAAATTCCTTGACCAAAAAGATTCAGACAATCTTAATTTCCCAGAAATATGATCAAAGCAAATGTTCAAAAACAATTAAGAAAAACCATCATTAATAATCAAATTTCCCTTCTAAAAATAATGACCAAACATGCCATAAGGACCATACAAGCAAAATCCATTATGAATCTTTGTAAATGTAAAAATCAGTACTATATTTTCAACCAAACAAAACCATGAAAACTACAAAGCATCAGAATCATTGACAAAACGACAAATTTAGAATAAAAGGAAAAATGGCTTTTTTATGAGCAAATCAACGGTTGTAACTTAAAAAGGTTCAGATCAACGGTCCAAAACATTTTTCCTGGAATAGGTTACTTCAAAATTTTTCGAGCTTATTTTCAATTAAAAAACGTTTCGGCATTTGGCTTTGAGGCTAATGCTTTACTTATTTTCTGTTTTTTAAGAAAAATACCATTTCAATTACTTTTTCTTTATGGTTGATAAGAAAAATATACGTTTTAAATTTTTAGAAATTTTAAAATAAATTTATTTTTAATTATTTAATTGCCCAAGTAAAAAAAAAAAAATAGTATATGTGAATAAGATAAGAAAAGGATAAAAAAACAAATTTCTTTTATCATTATTATTGTGTTGTGATTTAAACAAGACAAAGCAAATTTCAAAAATAAATTGAATATAAACTGAGTTATATAGCAAATTTTAAAGAATAAAAACTGAGTTCAACAAAATTGATTTTGATTTGGTATGTCATTCTTTCTCATACATGTGTATAAATCTCTTAAATTATGATTTAAAAGAAATCTTATAAGAGTCAAAACAAATCAAGTTACTTGTGAATTATTCAGTTGGATTTACTTATTGTCGAATTAAGCTCAAACTCGAGCTACTCAAATAATGAGTCAAGCTTAGTTAGAGTAGTTTAATATTCAAGTTAACAGATTTGAGTGTCTAATAAGACTTATTTTTAATATATTTAATGTATATATAAGTAAATAATAAAATTAATATTTAATATATTTATAATTTTATCTAACTTAATTGAGTGTATTGAGACAAACTCGAATGGTACAATTAAATTACAAATTGTGTTAAAATATAAATAATAAAAGACAAATTTGATCCAACTTGAATCAAAATTTGAATCTCAAATTTTTTAGTCTAATTGAATCAAACCTGACAATTCATCAACTCAATTCGACTGGAATTACATCCTACAATATTAATAGTCATATTGTTGTGTCTCTTTATTTTCCCTTTTGTGTCCTACAGATTATCGTATATGAATATTTCTCCAAATATAAGAAAAAAAATGAATATTGCAAAAACATTAAAAATATTCTTTAATACCAACTGAAAAAAATTACATCTTTTAATAATTATAAATCACACCGTGTAACGCTGGTATTTTTTTCTTAATATATAATACATAAAGACTTAAATAAATGGACAGTATTCTATTTTTATGGATAAGTTCAACTTGCTAACTAGTATCATTATAACACTTGTTTTTTCCAGTGAAAATATATGAATCACATTTGGTAGAACCATCATTGCCCAATGAACCATTGGAATCCATGTATGGTCGTTATCCTTCCCATCTGCTTTTTCAAGCTTTGTTTTTTACATTTGGCACTTGCTAATTAAAATTCAAACCCCTTTTTTATTTTTTATTATTATTTTTTGGTGACAAGCACGAGGGAAGAAAGGGGATGATTGTGGGGGTTGTAAACCTGATTCACCCCTTCTTCCATCGTAAGAGAGACACAGTAACCACTAAACCCAAAACTTTGAGATTTTAATTAAAATTCAAAAGTTTAAAAAATGGAAATAAACCAAAAGTTACCATATTAACATGGAATATGAAGTAGGAATGCATATTTGGTTCATTTTTTTTGGATAGGAAGTATTTACTAGTTCATAAAGTAAACTATATTAATTACTTTTGGAAAAATTTTTACAATAAATTCTAATGAGATAATCCAAAAGTTAGGACAAAGAAATTCGCTTTCCAGTGTAAGGATTACAGATAACCAATCAATGGCAGTTCATGAAGCAAATAGGTTTAGCTCAAAGCATTTCTACTTGGCCGTGGAGCATTCAGGGTATGGTTTCCATCTCAAATAGACATGTCAAATGTGAATCATTTACACATACAAAGAAGAGAACAAACTAATTTAAAAGTGGCATAACTTGCCGATTGAGTCGACTTTAAGATGCAAGTATCAGCCTACGCAGAAGACTTAGGCATCTTATATTGCTTCTTGACAAATTGGGATGCCTCTGAATCTGCACTGTGGCATAATATTCTCAGTAAAGTCTGGTTATCAGCACCTAGCTTGCCTCTTGAAGATCTCATGTCCTCAACCAATTCTCGAGTCTACAAACGATTATGGCCGAAAAATATAGTAATATCGTATCTTCCTGTAGTATAAACATGGAAAAGTATTTGTTGGTGGAACTAATAATTAGTCAGTCTAAAAATTAATAATTTGATTAAAAATTTTCAATCGTTTTATTTTTATTTTAAAAATCAATATGGATTTTAAAGTTATAATTTCATTTTAATTATCAAATAACTTGATTCAAAGATATTAAATAAAATATTATAAGAATCAAAACTCCATATAAGAATCTCATATAAAATAAATTCAATTCTAACTTTTTTACTTCATTATATCTCAATTCAGCTTACAAAATAAAGAATATATTTATCAAATAATAAATAAAACATATATATTTTTATCTATTGTTCAAAATTTCTTATCAAACACATATTTAAAAAATAACATATTTACATATTTTTAATGTTTTCACTTTTTCCCCTTAAAATTTTTAATCCATTAATTAATCTAACATCAATTTTTTTTGGTACTAAAAAATCTATGATGAAGAAAGATTTTTCATTTAAAATAAGAACAGATCACATAAACGTCAAAGATAACTTATATTGAATTTACGGTGAATAACATTAGGATTAGTTGCCTAGAATTTTGTTAGCTCAACACTCAATAGATCTATAAAGGTAGGTTGCACTTTGTTTTGGCTTTTCATTAGCAACAACTAGTTACGTATCCTTTTGCATTTATTGAAATTGATAATAATGTTATATGTCATAAAATCAATTATAAATCATATTCTTATTATAATTTATAAAATTCTAGCCAATATTGTTATAAAATTATACGTCATACAATTCATACTATAATTTTTGTATCTAGTTGCTATTGTTGTTTTTATTGATATCAAACAATATAATAATTTATTTTATTATGAAAAAACTCTTTGTTTAAGATCAATTATTGTTAAATCGGATGCCTCATAATTTTTTTTTTATGCTTTTATGCTTTTATTTTAGATGCCGAATTTAATTTAATTTATGTAACATAATTTTTTTAATTCATCAATTTAATTTTTTTTTATAAATTTTTATTTAATATTTTTAATAAAAAATTCCCAAATTTTACCTACAAAATTTCATCTAAAACCTCATTTAAAATGAATTGGTGTCACTGTACTCTGTCGTTTGGATCAAAAAGGCCCGATCTGGTTGTGTTTACATGGCATCAATGTAAGACTTAAACTCAATTGATGGGAAAGGCGGAAAGGGTATGGTGGTGATTGATATTTTTGCTTTTCTTTTTTAATTTAATTAATAAATTATGAAATAATTTTTTAATTTAATATAATGAAAATTTTTATTATATAATAAACTTATAAATAAATAAAATAATTATTATATTTTTAATTAAAAATTATTATTTTATAAATTTTAATATTATATAAAAGATTAACTAAATATTATATTATAAACTAAACATAAAATTTAGTGCTATATTATATTATGTTAGTATTTTAACTAAAAATAGATAACTATGTCATTAATTAAAAATAAAGAAAAATACCAGTTGATATATTATTATTTTTATTAGTTTTTAATTATTCATCAACAAAGTTATTATTGATATAAAAATAATTTAATGAATTTTCAATTATTTATTAATTTTATAGATGTTAAATAATTTAAAATTTTTATTATATATAAATTTTAATCTAATATCTTTAATGGTTATTTCTTTTCTAACTATAATTCAACTCACCTCAACGATTCATTTGCATCGAAATATTTATATTCACAATTGATTTTAATATAATAAATATAGTATCTAATTTCACCGTTATTTTTAATTTTACCTAAATCAATCTTATTACCCATTTAAATAGACTCTAAATTATTCTCATTACACTAAAGATGTCAATCTTATCCAAATTCGATGAAAATTTTAATTTTTTATCCTAATAAAAATAAAATAAATATTAAATTTTAAAAATTGATATTGAAATGTGTATGATTTTAAAGTTTCACTTACAAAATTTTATTTAATTCATTTAAGTCTTTTTTATTGTACCATAATGTTGATGATTCTTGCTTATAGTCCGACTTAAAATTTAATTGGTACCATGAACACGTTAAAAATGAATGGGTTGGATTTCCATACTAGATAAAAGATCGGCTTGAATCAAATTAAATGAAAAAAAATTTTACATATATGTAAGAATTATTGTTTTATATATTGATTTGACCTACCTTCACTTGTCATAAAATTCTTTTTCTGGGAATATTCTATCCGAAATTGGCTTATTGAAAAGTCTTGAGTTGATTTCCTTATCAAATAATGAGATCAATGGTTCCATTCTACGAGAAATAGGGAGGTTGAGTTCAATTTCCTGCATCTTTTTCTCTTATAACCATCTACGTGGTTCTATTCCTGGAGAGGTTTGCAGCCTTTCCAAGCTCACTGGTCTTGGCTTGTCACAGAATAATTTCTCTATAAGTATTCCACCTAAAATCGGAAGGTTGAGTTTACTTTCTCTACTTCTCTTTGATGCAAACAATCTCACCAGTCCAATACCTATTTCTATTGGAAGCTTGCATAATTTGTCCCAACTTGTCCTAGTTGACAATAGTCTCAATGGTGCCATACCTAGAGAAGTTGGGATGACGAAGTTACTCAATATGCTTGATCTTTCAATAAACCAACCAACTGGTCCTGTCCCAACATCTCTGGGAAACCTAAGGAACTTGGTATGGCTTTATCTGTATGGTAATAACCTCTCTGGTTCTATCCCTAATGAAATAGGATAGCTTGGATCTCTTATCACAATGCAGTTGTTAAGTAATAACCTCACTGGTGTCATCCCTGCTTCCATAAGAAACTTAACCAAATTGTCTACTCTTTACCTTTTTGAAAATAAGCTTTCCGGGTCAATACCTCAAGAGATAGGGATGCTTGTATCTCTTACAGAACTTTTTTTCTTTGATAACAATTTCTCTGGTTCAATCCCTGCTTCCATAGGAAACTGGACCAGCTTATCTACTCTCTACCTTGATCAAAATATGTTTTCTGGTTCAATCCCTGCTTCAATTGGAAACATGACGAAGCTTGTGGGGTTAAGTCTTCTATATATCTTTTATCAGGGCCAATTCCTTCGTTCAGCAATCTTACTCATTTGGAATCACTCCAAGTATCGGACAACCATCTCGGTGGTCCATTACACGAGAATGTATGCTTCGGTGGACAACTCATATATCTTGGGGCTATCAACAACAATTTGACGGGTCTGAACCCATCAAGTTTAAGAAACTGCAAAAGCTTTTACAGAGTTAGGCTTAAAGGAAAGCAGTTGACAGGAAATATATCAGAAGCTTTTGGTATATATCCTAATTTGAATTATATTGCATTAAGCAACAACAAATTTTATGGTGAACTTTCTTCGGGTAATGCCATAGTCTAACAAGCCTATGAATCTCCAATAATAACATTTCTAGAAAGATACCACCTGAGCTCAAACATGCAACTCAATTACAAGAAATCGATCTCTCTTCAAATCATCTCATGGGTGAGATTCCCAAGGAATTGGGAGCATTGACATTGATGTTCAATCTTTTGCTAAGTGGTAACCAACTTTCAGGCAAAATTCCATCAGAGATTGGTGTTCTTTCAAACCTACGACATCTTAACTTGGCATCAAACAATTTAAGTGGATCAATTCCTAATCGACTTGGAAAATGCTCTAAGTTATTGAACCTGAATTTGAACAAGAATAAACTTGGAGAAGGTATTCCAATTTCAATAAGCTACATATATGGTCTTGAAAATATAGATTTAAGTCAGAATTTACTTATTGGGGAGATACCACAACAGGTTGCAAAATTACATTCCTTGGAAATGTTGGACCTTTCTCACAATATGCTCAATGGTTCCATCCCAAATTCTTTTAATGATTTGCAAAGCTTGACTGTTGTGAATATCTCTTGCAATCAATTAGTAGGTCCTATACCCAACATTAAGGCATTTCATGAGGCTTCATTTGATGCCTTAAGAAACAATAACGGCCTATGTGGTAATGCCACTGGACTAATGCATTGTGTCGTCGCTGCTGCTAGCAACAACGTTGGTCATAGAAAAAGCACCAAGTTCATCATTTTCATTGTGCTTTCACTCTTTGGTATTCTTCTTTTACTATTTATCATGGCTGGAAGTTTCTTTATTCTTTGCCAAAAGAACCGAACTAGAAAATCTGAGTCAATGGAGGCACAACTTGGAGATTTTTTCACATTGTGGGGATATAATGGAAGAATACTCTATGAGAACATTATTGAAGCCACTGAAGATTTCAGCTCCAACAATTTCATTCAGGAGGCTATGGAGCTGTTTATAAAACTGTGCTACCCATTGGTGAGATGGTTGCAATGAAGAAACTTCACCAATCTGAAAATAACATGATTTCCAACAACTTGAAAGCCTTTGAAAGAAAGATTCATGGTTTATCAGAAATAAGGCAACGTAACATTGTGAAGCTGTATGGCTTTTGTTCACATCCAAAGAACTCATTTTTGGTTTGTGAGTTTGTAGAAAGGGGAAGTTTGAAAATGGTGTTAAGGAATAAGGACAAGGCAATGGAGTTAGATTGGGAGAAGAGGTTAAATGTTGTAAAAGGAGTGGCCCATGCCTTGTCCTATGTGCATCATGACCATTCATCACCTATTATTCATCAAGACATTTCCAGCAACAATGTTCTTTTGGATTTGGACTATGAGGCTCATGTCTCAGATTTTGGCACAGCCAGGCTTTTAAAGCCTGATACTTCCAATTGGGCCTCACTTGCTGGCACTTTCGGATATATAGTTCCAGGTATTTATTGATCTCTTTTTTTTTTTAAAGATGCTTTAAACATGTAATCATTGAATTAAAAGTGTTAGTTTTGTGTGCAAATTGATGCGTTAAAACAAAGTTCACGTGGTATCATGATTGTAACTTTTCAAAATTTAAGTATCAATTTGACTATAATTCAAGTATCAAATGAGTAATTAATTTTTAAAGTTTAACACTTAATTTTTCAATATTCAACATATCAAACTGATGAACTAAATGTAAAATTTTATTTGAACCTTTGAATTTCAATTTTCAATTAATTTTCTAAACATTCGCAATTTCTTTTCAACATACGTTTTATAATCTTCTCAATATTTTTATATAATAATGTATTGGTTAGATATATTTGTTGCTTAATAGAGCACATTGATTAGATATGTTTCTTTAAGCAAAGTTCACTTGTACAATGAAAGTAGATGAGAAATGCGATGTATATAATTTTGGAATTCTAATAATGAAAGTTCTTATGGGAAGACATCACGGTGATCTTATATCATGTTTATCATCATTGGCGTTTGGCATCGACATCGGCTTTGGTGCCTAATGACCTACAAATTTTATTAAAGATGCGATAAACCAGCATCTCTCACCACTAGAAAACCAAGTTGTAGAGGATTTAGTATTTACTACAAAGGAAGCATTTGCATACTTGAACGACAATCCCCAACTTTGGCCAACCATGCAATAGGTTGCTCAAGCCATTACCAGTCAATAGTTTCCATTTCCCAATCTTTTCACTATCATCAAATTGGGAGAACTGTTGGTCATGGAGTTTGTGGCTAACTAGGTGCTAACAATTTGGATAATAATTCTTGGTATGAGTATAATTTGCTTTCTCAATCTCCTTCTTTATCTCCTTTGTATTCAAATGTTTAAGCAATCTAATATATATGTGGTTAAATATTTGATTCACTAATGGTGACATTTCATTAATAAATAAAAACTAAATTAGTTAAATCTTTAAAAATAAATTACTTCTTACATATGCAAGGTCAATGGGTTAAACAAAAGCAAATCACTTGAATATAGTAGAGGGAGAATTTAATCAGAAATTAACATAAAAAGAGAGATTAGGGAAATTTTTTTTTGAGTTTTAGTTTCACAGTATTGTTGGATAATATTTTATAATTTCATCTAGATAAACATAAGATGACCGAACCTACACAAGCATGAAAAACAACAAAACTTGAAATGATATTAAGAAAGAAGCCATGATTTGGATAGTTCAAAGGAATATATATTTTATTAATTATTTAAGTATAAATTACATTGACTAGCCCGGATGGTCAGGTATTTATTCAACCCCTCTCCAGTTAATTTCCACAAAGACTAACAAACTAACGTGTTTCATGGCAATAATAAATTAGTAAATCTGTTACACGCGCGAGTCAACTCAAGACCGCAAGGTTGTGATCAAATCATTGCAAACCCAAGTAAATCATGAATGACGTGAAACACTTCTTGACAGACATCTCAAGTCTTCCTCCGATTGACATTGGCGTCAATTTTAGATATTTCTACTTTTTCTTGTCTTTTCCTTTCTTACGTTTTTTTTTTCTTTATTACGTAGAAAGGCGGCTAACTAGGCTGGGGCATGTAGGGTGTGATATTACTCTTATTCTAGTTTTAAAAGACTTCCTAAAAGACTTATGAAGTCTTCCTTCAATTGACGTTGGCGTCAATTGAGATGTTTCTAATCTTTTCTTTTTTTCTTTTCATTTCTTTATTGTGGTGGGAAAAAAAAAAACACAGTTGATTGGAGGCAGCTAGTGTACTTGAAAAAAAATTTAATAATTACGGTTTTTTTACTATTAGATTACGATTTTTTTTAAAAGTTATAATTTTTTTATGTTAGACTATGATTTTTTTCAAAAATCAAAGTTTTTAGGTATATTAAACTACAAATTTATCTATATAGACCATGATTTTTTAACAAATCGTCGTCCTTTTATATATTAGATTATAATTTTATGAAAATTGTAATCTTTTTAATATTAAACTATATTTTTCGTACTAAACTATTTTATATAAACTATATTTTTATCTATCTGGCACATTTTTATTTATTTAATTTCTAATTTTATGTATGAATTAAATTTATCAAATTATTTTTTTAAAAAAAGAATAAAATTAATTAAATAATAAAAATAATTATTTTAAAATAAAATAATAATTTTAAATAATTAAAATTTGTTTAACATATTTTAAATTTATAAATTAAAAATATTTTAAAATATATACAAAAGTTATCATTAATTATTATATTTCATTAAAAAAATTCAAATGAAGTTAAAACATACACTCAATAAAAATAAAAACTTAAGTAAACTAAATTACTATGAGCTTAGATGTCCATCTTTATTACACGAATTAATTTTGATTTATATCCTTTTTATGCATAATACTGTACATATTTATTAATTTGCATCACCAATTATAATTCCTAGATCCGTTATGCATGGCAGTGAGCTTAATTCAGTTTCAAGTTTTATTTGCACTAATCCTTCTTAAAATTTTATTTTTCTTTCTTTATGGAAGGGAAATTAGCGGCGGTCATGTATTTTGGCAAAACAAATTTATTTTGACTCATGCATATTGTATATTTGGTTATCAAAGTGCATTTAAAAGGGTATGCAAAGCAAGAAAAATAAAAATTATTGAAATATTTTTATTAGGTTGATTGATGTATTATTTCTTCTCTAAAATAAAATTTGAATCTATTTTCCTAAAAAAGGAAAAACAAAAAAATTTAACTATGAACATAGTTAGGTGTCAAAAAAAGGCTCGTGGTTAAAATATTTGTGGGTATCAATTTAATATGTAATTTATTTGATATTGAAGCCCTATTTTGATATTACTAATAATCTTACATTCTTGATACTTAAAAATATTGTATAACCAAATGTAATAATCTAATAATCAAAAATAAAACTATGATTAATAATCTTCTTTCTTTTGAATCAAACGTCTTTATAAACAAATATGATTATGATGTAAATTTTTTGAAAGTTGAAAAGTTTGCATTTCTTAAAGCAATTGATTTGTCTTTTATGACTTTTTTTTTTGTAAATGCAGCAAGATCTGCGTCATTCTGTCTACTTTTTTTTCTTTACTTTTTTATTTGTTTGAAATGGTTGGCTACTT